TTATGCACGTCAAATATTCAATAATTGAGTATTCTCAAATATTGGTCCGTAAAACTTAAATGCGACATGTTTTGATCTTCCTAGGATCTCAAATTAGTTTACAAACACTTCAGGTGTTCACAATATAATGACTAGATATTTTATTTATTATATAATCAAACACCATTCAAATCAAAAGATTTTCATGTGTTGTTTCTAGGTTTGGCTAGATGCTTAAAAGCATCCAACACCTTTATTTATACAATTTGGTTCATAGAATAATATATGTTTACTTCAGGTAAATAAATAGAAGGTTATGAGTAATTGCAAATCCATTGCATAATGATTTCCTCATTCAACTCTTTCTGCAGGAAAGGTTGAGAAGTAGTAGGAATATAGTTCACTTTAAATTAGTTTAAATTTTAGTCATGATATCATGTGAAAACACATAAGAAAATTGTTCAAATTAGATCCTCTACAGGAGGCACTTACTACGAGTGATATATTCACATGGTGCAAAGACCTTGTTCAATCATGATATTAAAATAATTTGCACCATGATAATCAAGCATAGTTCTTCCACAAAATAAATCATGTCATCAAAACTTAGTTTGATCACCCAGGTTGGGTTAGGCACAAGCATCTCTTTTTATATTTCCAACTATGCTACAATTTACTGCATTTCTTATTGTTGCAGTTTTTCAATCAAATTCAAATTCATTTCCAAGAATAATTCCAAAAGTAATAACTATAACTCACATAATGTCCTTATCTAATTATTGTATACATAAAAGAATTTATATTCATGTTGTATGTTGTGTGCACATATTTCTTTTCACTATTGTTCTTCAGGGACACAATTGATATTATATTATAACAATGACATCCAATTTTCTCATCAACTGCCACATTTACAGAACTTTAAACTATAACAGGAGTGCAGTCTCAAAATCATTCAATCCCAAGTATTGTCACCCCACGTACACAATATCTTGATTTATAGGACTTCAAGCCCAATATAAAATATTTTCTCATCCATAAACATCGATCATAATTCACAAAATTTTAGGACTACATGTCCATCATATTTCGTCTGGTCAGACTTTATTATTATGGATTATGAATCGATAGTCTTGGAAAAATAAATCATTGACGTCAATATAATAACTATTATTCCTGTTTCATCAAAGTCCCTCTATATGAGCCATAAAAGAGGAATGCATGTTCTGTATCATATAAATTATTAGCTGCAGCATTTAACTTATATCATCCTCTTGTAGAGACATAAGTGACTTACTGTAATAAGATCTGGCTTCCATTTGTATACACATAATGACCGTCAAACCATGCTTCATGAATTGGTTGAGCTCAAACTTTATGATCATTTGTATTTGTCACTTTGGCAGTTAACTTATCATATTTTAAACGTTTCTCTTTTAATATCAATCGATCCTTCTGGGATATTTTCCCGACATTCCAAAATATAATTATGCATATGCCATTATATCTCTCCCTAATGTCGGAAAATGTGCCATAATATTTTTGAACAAGGATTTACGTACATATGGAGCCACTTCTGGGGTCCGAGTACATCATTTCTGTAGTGGGGTTTCAATGTTGGCACACTTTGGCTCATTTTAATGTGTAAACTTTGGAAGTTAGTTGTTAATTATAACAAATGCCGAATTAATATAAACTAGATTTTCTTCATATATTTAAACAACTTTCTAGCAGTTTATCTCAGGCGTAACATTCATCTTATAATGCTAGATATATTTTGTGGGTTACCTTATGCTCTTCACTGTATTTCATTGAAGCCGGCAAAATGGTCTTATACCACTCATTAAATGAAGACATTTCAGGAGAGCATATCTTGAGACCAAATTTGATATTAACCCACATTGTGAAACTTCAAGTTCACTCAACTCCCATGGATCCACTTTTAAAATATTTGGGAGAATAGACGGTCTTGTCATTTTATTATCTAAGAAGTATTTATATAGTGGATGTCTTATACGGCATTTGGTTTAAACCTGAGCTGACCTTAAATTGGTCATTTATTCAAAAATTTTAAACTCCATGCAATACATGTTTAAACTATTCAAGTATATATAGTATGGTGTGAGGAGAATTCTGCAACAGGCAGATATTATGGAAACACAATTTACACTGTGTTGGTATGGTCTCAAAGTATCACCCAATAAGTATGATATCACTTTTTAAATTATTACTTCGCAGTGTTTGAGTAGCTTCTTTGAGCTTACACTCAATGCCTAAGATTTTATCATTATTATTTATGTGCACAACTTGTTTATAAATATAATTTGTGCTTCCATTTGCTTTTATCCCTAATCTGTATAACTCTATCAAAATCTAGCATATTTCGGGGCCCATGCCAAAGTATATACATGCTTTAGGCATTATATCATCCCCAAGACAAAAATAATTTGTCTCTAAAATAATCATTTAAATAGTGATTTCTTACTTTTATAGAAACAATACGAATCACTCACCTAGAAATGTATATATAGAGAGTCTAAAGATTAGATAATGCTACTTTTGGAGTAACATAAAAGTTATCAAATAATCAAATTTGTTAAAGAATACTTAAAGACTTGTCTCAAAGTATTCACTTGAATGAATTTCTTAAAGACTTGTCTCAAAGTACTTAAGGAGTTCACGACTTTAAAACACGTCCACAAGTAAGGGCTTCAGGCCCCGCTTATAAACACACACACTAATAGTGATGTGAGAACTTCATGTTCACAACACACTCACTTGTACATCAAATTTATGCTCTTATAGTGACTTCTGGCACTTTGTTATAATTTCATATTTCAATTATGAAATTTGTTTGTTTTCTCCCTCTCACAAGTATATTAACTTGATTTAATTAATCATTCCCCATTAATAATTTATATTTTATTGAGAAAGTCAAGTACATTTCAGGTGCATCATACCTAAGCTTACTTCACATGCTAAGCTTTACTTCACATTCTCTAAACTAGCTCCAAAAACATAACACTAACTTACACTTTTCAAGTAGTTGAGGACAATAATATGAATAACTATTCATATATAACATAGAATATCAAATGATTAATAACTAATAATCAAATTTACCATGTACATAAACACATATATAAGTGGATGATCAATACGATGTTGTAATAGCACAATAAGTCATAACAAGGACGAATTTAAGAAAAATCAACTATAAAAGTTCACTTTAGTAGTTTTTTTTAATCTAAAAAAATCAAATAGTCTCATGGATGTGCTTTTCTTATCAAGATATGCATGTGTTCTTACCAAAATTGTGAGAATTATTAGCGAAATCACGGAGTAAAAATATGATTGAAAAAATTCGATAGTACGTGTTCTAAAAAATATGAAAATTTCACCAAAAATATTAATAACTCATTAACAAGACTGATGATTTGCTAATTTGGATATCTTTTACTTATTTTGGGCCTTTGTTTATTGAGCCTCTTTTATGTTAGCTTATACATAGTATATATAGCATAGACTTATTCTATTTTTAGAATTATTGAATTCAGTTGTAAACAACTCTCTTCCGCATATTCTCTGCGTTCTTCTTCTCTTTTACATTCTCTCAGATTTTTGAATTTCAATCACTGATTCATCAGATTCTTGAATTCAGTTGTTAACACTCATTATCTAGTGTGAGGATGCCAGATTGAAAATCCACTCATTCAGCCCAACATTTTTTTAACACCACAAATTCATTTAAACTATGTGGGGACTTGGAATAATTAAGAGCACTTCAAATGAATTTATTTCGTAATTTGATTTCTGAACGTTATCATTTCACTACTTTTGTTACTTCAGAATTTTCTTATGAGCTTTAATAGCGGTGTGGAGCTTTATTTTACCATTAAATGATATTAATTCCCGCATTTAATTTTTACATGATGCACCAATGAGGCCTTACGTGACTTTCACGTTGGAATCTTATATTATTCAAGATGCAAACTTTTAAAGCTTTATTTGCTTTATTTCCAATTTTCTAGAATATAATGTTTGCTAACTGTTGGATATATATTCATGTCTTAATTATTATTTGATAGATCAATTGCAAATTATTATTTTTTCCCAGTTCTAACGTAGTATATTCATTTAAGAAAAACGTTAGTATCTACTATCGAATAACTCATTCTGCTAAACAAAAACTTTCACCATAACCGTTATTGGCACATACTTCGTATAATTGAAAGGGCAACAGATAAACTAAAATGCACGGACAAATATACAGTAAAACTATATGCATGATATCTACAATCTGATATATGCAATGCCAATTCAAGTTCAGATTTTTTTTAAACTATCCCAATTACATAAGTAACTCTCATCTATGTATAGAAAAAATTAGGAAATATGCACAACATATGAATTATAAGAAAAGTATCTGCCTCTTCATATGTATGGTTCAATATATTTACATATTTGTAAGAAAATGAGATGCATTTGAATCATAACCGAGCAAATTATAATTATAAGAAAATGGTAGCTATTAATCACTTTTGACCCCGCTAATTGGCATTAAAAATTCAGGCATATAAAATCACTCGCCAAATTCCGGTATTCAAAAAAAACATGTCCACAATAAATAAATAAAAATTGACATTATACAAGCTTCACTGTGGAGACTTATACTGATTGAGTATATACGGAGTATATCCTACGGGCGGTAAAACAAAATTAAATTACTATAGATAGCTTGCTTTTGCTCGTCAAATTATAGCTTGTCAATTTTTTTTAGGTAGATTCTATGGTACCGTACCATACATTTGTCCACATAGACCAATGTGAATACTACAGTTGAATTGTTTAAATTTAAATTAAAAATGATATAATGATTTGGACCGATCAAGTGATTGATAGTTAGGATATCCCAATTTTTAAATGGGTACGGGAGTTGTCACTGTTTTTATAAATTAACAAATGAGCAAAAATCATATATGTGGTTAAAATCTATTTTATGGATTTTGTTTACAATTGGATTGAGATTTAGCAGATCTTTGTGAATTGGAGTAAAATCCAAAAAATACCTGGAAGCCTCCTCTGGTTTATACTCGATAGACGACTCTAGCTAAACAGCTGGTTTTATCGTTGGGAACCTGGGACTGCTTGTTTATTGGTTTACTTGATCCGTTAGGGCATCATATGTGGTGGTGACCGCGATTGCAGATCGGCGGAGAGCAATCTAACATAACGGATGCGCAGGAAAAACAAAGGTTCTTGCAGAGTGCAATGGCGGAAAGTGTTTTTGGGTCGCCCAGTCCTTCTACAACAAATGAGCACGACACAACTCTTATTTTGGGTCGAGGACAAAGAGTTAAACAGCCGTCAGTTCGATTGCAGGATTATGTGACTCACACAGTGATTAAAAATAGTCTCATTTCTCCCTCTCCATCCTCTCCTGCTTCTTCAGGTACTCGTTTTCCTATATCACATTATGTTAGTTGTGATACTTTTTCTGCACCACATCGGGTCTTTCTTGCAGCAATTTCCTCACGCACCGAACCTCAATCTTTTAAGGAAGCTATCTCTAGCCCGGAGTGGCGTCAGGCCATGAACTCAGAAATTCAAGCTCTTGAACGAAATGGCACTTGGTCTCTTGTCTCTCTCCCTCCCGGAAAGCGCGCTTTAGGGTGTCGTTGGGTGTACAAAATTAAATATCAGTCCGACGGCACCGTGGAACGTCTCAAAGTCCGCTTAGTTATTTTCGGGAACCGCCAAGTTGTTGGGCTTGATTATGATGAAACGTTTTCCCTGGTAGCTAAGATGGTCACTGTGCGAGCCTTTCTTGCTATTGCGGCGTGTAAGAATTGGGAACTCCATCAAATGGACGTTCATAACGCCTTCCTTCATGGTGATCTTAATGAAGAGGTGTATATGACGCTGCCTCCGGGGTATAAATCCTCTATGTAAGTTCTGAATCTTCCAGCTCAGGTCTCTAATTTCATCCACAAAGGATGAATAACACCACTATGATCACAAAAGGGAGAGGGGCGTCAGCCAGCAGGCTATTTCCGGCCAAATATCTCCGATGAACCCAAAAGAAAAGCTCGGACTGATTTTGGGGGATTAGGTTTCGGCGCTCTACCCAAAACGGAGAAAGGAGAATTATTTATAAGCCAAGGTCAAAAACTCAGGTAAGGTAACTTACCTTATCAAAGATATGCAGCGGCTTCAACAAGGAAAGAAGAACAAGGGAGGATATGCGCAGGGAGAACAAGGAGAAAATAAAATCGATAAGTCCAACCCTGGGCCGGGTACAACCAAAGAATAAATGGGCTTACGGAAATAGTTGGGCCAATACCTAACACATTCTCCACCTTATTGGACCATAGTGGCTTAGAGTAAAAACTCTAACACAAACATGAGACTCATCATCGCTGGATTGCCCGAATGATCACAAAGACACATTCACGCAAAAGGGGTAAGATCACCAGGCAACTTATCCACAATCAATGTTTAACGTGCGTTTGCACGACAGCAACTTTTCGACAGAGAGACATTTAGTCCCTATGTCAGCAGGATTAAATTCAGACGGAATTTTAATCAACTTGATATCACCTGCACTAACAATATCACGTATAAAATGAAATCTAACATCAATATGCTTAGTTCTATCATGAAAAACAAGATTTTTGCACAGTTGAATAGCAGATTGACTATCAGAAAACACACAGATGTCCTGATTAAGACTACCAATCTCCATTAGGAGACGCTTAAGCCAAATGGCTTCCTTAAATGCTTCGGTAGCGGCCACATACTCGGACTCAGTAGTGGAAAGGGAAACTATGGCTTGAAGTTGAGACTTCCAACTAATGCAAGACCCGCAAAGGGTAAACACATAAGAGGTAGTGGATTTCCTATTGTCTCTATCGTTAGCAAAATTCGAGTCCACATACCCACTCAACTTAACACCCTTAGAACACCTAGTGAAAACCAACCCATGATTAACAGTAGATTTCAAGTACCTAAGCAACCACTTAAGAGCATTCCAATGAGGTAAACCAGGATTAGACATATACCTACTCAAACAACTAACAGCATAGGCAATGTCGGGTCTAGTACTCACCATGAGGTACATCACGGACCCAATAGCATTGGAATAAGGCACAGATTTCATTTTAGCAATTTCAGGAGTAGTCTTGGGAGACTGATCCTTACTTAACACAAAGTGGGACGCCATAGGGATAGAGACGGTAGTAGCAGAATGCATGTTATATTTACTCAAAATCTTTTCAATGTATGAAATCTGATTGAGTACTAACACACGCTTACTCCTATCCTTAACAATGTTAATGCCTAGGATCCTCTTGGCATCACCTAGGTCTTTCATTGCAAAGTTCTCACTGAGACGCTTTTGCACACCTTTAATGGCGTCACCCGAAGGACTAACAATCAACATGTCATCCACATAAAGCAATAAAAATACAGGCACAGAAGAAGTATTTTTAAAGTATAGGCAATGGTCGCACTCGGACTTGTGAAATTTCAAAGATGACATGCACTGGTCAAATTTGATATTCCACTGCCTCGGGGACTGCTTCAGGCCGTACAAGGCCTTCCTAAGCAAACACACATGATTAATCTTCATGGGATCCACAAAGCCCTCAGGCTGGGTCATATAGATTTTCTTGTCTAAATCACCATGCAGGAAAGCAGTGGTGACGTCCATTTGCTTCATTTCCCAATCATTATGAGCAACAAGAGCAAGCATCATTCTAATAGTAGTGAATTTAACAACAGGAGCAAAGATTTCAGCATAATCAACACCTTCCTTTTGAGTAAAACCCTTAGCTACTAACCTAGCCTTATATCTAATGTCGTTAGGCTCTTCCTTAACCTTAAATAGCCACTTACACTCAACAACGGAACTATTGGGCGGTCTAGGAACTAACGTCTAAGTCTTATTCGCTCTAAGTGACTCCATCTCACTCTCCATGGCGCAAAGCCATTTAGCGGACTCATTAGACTTAAGGACCTCCCTATAGGTTTTAGGTTCGTTAAGCTCAAGGGTCTCAAACACAGAGAAAGCAAACATAGAAGTATCACACGCATGGAAAGCAAAATCAGGCATGGTATCAGCAGTTCTCCTAATTTCTCTCCTACTTCTATCTCTAACAAGTTGGTAATCATGCAAATCAATATCACTAGAATCAGCACTCTCATCATGCGATTCATTGTCATTTGAATGCACATGAGAATGCTCCACCTCACTCGAAGTGGTGGTATTATCATGCTCAGAAGAATCATGCAATTCAGAAGAATCATGCAAATTAGAAGAATCATGATTAGCAAACAAAGGACTAGCAGCATATGGTATGGACTCCACCTCAACAGGTGTACTACTAGGGCTCGACTCAGAATCAGGAACTGACTTAACCAGACAAGGGAACTCGGATTCATTGAAAACAACGTTTCTACTTACCACAACCTTGAAACCTACCTGGTTCCTATCCCAAACCCTGTACCCCTTCACACCCTCAGGATAACCTAAGAAGACTCCTTTCTTAGACCTAGGATCCAATTTGTCACCTTGTTGGTGCACATACGCAGCACACCCAAACACTCTAAGATTAGACAAATCAAGGGGCTTGTTTGAAAAAACAGATTCAGGGCATTTCCCACCCAAGGGAACAGAAGGAGACCGGTTAATCAAGTAGACAGCAGTATTGACTGCTTCACCCCAAAACTTTTTAGACAAACCGGAGGTGGCAAGCATACTCCTAACCTTATCTAGAACAGTCTTATTCATTCTCTCGGCTATCCCATTTTGTTGGGGAGTATAGGGCACAGTTTTGTGCCTTCTAATCCCACAATCAACACAGAGTTGGTCCATATCCTTATTGCAAAACTCTAATCCATTATCGGTCCTAAGGGTTTTGACCATCTTACCGGTTTGATTTTCTACAAGGGTTTTCCACTCCCTAAATTTCACAAAGACATCGGACTTATGCTCAAGAAGACGGACCCACACCTTCCTAGAAAAATCATCGATAATGGACAGAAAATATCTCTTACCCCCGTGGGTAGAGACACTAGCAGGACCCCACACATCTGCATGAACATACTCTAACACAGAGGTACACTTAGTGGGATTAGGATAAGGGGAAGAGGGGAATGTAACCTTATGCTGCTTGCCTAACACACAAGATTCACAGAAAGGGATGGAGGACACAGAATCCTTACCAAAACAACCAGATTTATGCAAAATCTCTAAACCCTTATTACTCATGTGTCCTAATCTATTATGCCACAAAGCAGTTTTATCAGAACTAACAACATGAGCAGAATCACAGAAAGGTTGAGCATGGCACACATACAAATTATTCACCTTTTTTGCCTTAAACAAAACAAGGGAATTTTTCAAAACTTTCATGCACCCATTTCCCCATTTACCCTCAAGCCCACTACCCTCAAAAGCAGCGACAGAAAACAAGTTATGACGCAAATCAGGGACATGCCTCACATTTTTCATAGTAAACACAGTCCCATTATCAAACTTCAAGCATACATCACCCACCCCATGTATTTTGCATTTCTTATTATCAGCAAGAGACACAAAACCATCATTGCAAGAATCATAAGAAGCAAACAGAGATCTGAAAGGTGTCATATGATAAGTACAACCAGAGTCAATCAACCACTCATTTTCAGTCATGCTACTCAACACAGAATTTGCAAAATCACAGACCATAAAAACTTCTTCATGCAAGTTATTATCATCTACCACATTAGCATGTTCAGACTTCTTAGGATGGGGACAATCCTTAATGAAGTGACTAGAATTACCACAATTATAGCACACTCTCTTCTTAGACTTACCTCTCTTCTTCCCCGGGTCGTTGTTATTGGTCTGGTTCTTATTGTTGCTACCCTTCTTATGGTTTCTAGATCTACTCTTAGACCTACCCCTCACAAGCAACGCTTCACCAGAGTCCCTAGATTGACTGTTACTACCCCTCGAGTGTCTAAGGTCTAACTCCTTACTCCTTAATCCATTAACGACTATATCTAACGAGATATCGTCTCTACCATACTTTATGGCAGATTTGACGTCATTGTAAGAGTCAGGGATGGCATTAAGTAACACTATGGGTGTGTAGTCATCTATGTGTTTATCACCGGCTTGCTTAATGTTCTGAATAAGCTTGTTAAACACATCTAGGTTCTCATCTATGTCTTTAGTCAGGTCAGGCCTAAATCTAAAGAACTTCTCAAGCAAAAACAATTTACCAGGCAAAGAAGTATCGGTATACAACTTATCTAACTTGTCCCACAACTCTTTAGCAGAATCTATAATACCCACCTTCCTGAGCACTGAATCAGAAAGGTTTAGGTAAATAGAGGAACAAGCAGTTTCATTCATTTCAACGCGCTTGGCAGCATCCTCAGAGTCTAAATAGAGACCGGTCACAGCTCTATAGACTTTCTGTTGGATCAATACGCATTTGATTTTCTGTTTCCAGATATCAAAATCTGTCTTTCCGTTAAATGGAAGCATGCCATATTGATTGACAGCCATATTAACCGGAAAGCAAGCACAACACGCAAGAGAGTAAATAAAAAATTTATCAAGCTATCAACCGGTACGATGCAACTAGCACGAACAAACTGAGAAGACCAATGAACACAAAGCTCGGGTACAATCTCCTTGTTCTTTCGTACCGTACGAAGCAACTAGCACGAACAAGCCGAGAAGACCAATGAACACAAGGCTCGGGTACAATCTCCTTGTTCTTTCGTACAAGCACAGATAAAATTTTTTTATTTAATCAACAGACGGATAAATGATTTATTATAACCTATAGGGCTATCAATTGTACGAAGCAACTAGCACGAACAAGCCGAGAAGACCAATGAACACAAAGCTCGGGTACAATCTCCTTGTTCTTTCGTACAAGCGCAAATAGGCTAGAATTAAATCATCCAACAAAGAAACGGGATTTAAAACTAATCCGGACAGAAATATTCCCAATTTCGGACAACATGTATCCAAACAAATATTCTTAACCGGAGAGTTTATCCACGAATCAATCAACAGAAAAAATCAAAAAAAAAAAAAAATCCAACACGTGATTAAATTTAAACCGGAAGAAATATTCACAATTTTGGACAACAGGTATCCAAACAAAATATTCTTCACCGGAAAGAATTAATCACAAACCAACAAGTAATCACAATTTAAACAAACAAGTAATTGCAATTTAAACTTGAACTTAAAAATGAATGAACTACGAATAAGTAATCACACAAAGGATTAGTAAACGTACCTGGGGCCGGGCACAGCCGGCATCCAAGACCACGCAGGTCAGCAGCGGGGAGTGGGGAAAAAATAAATCCTGTGGCACTCCGGTACACCAAGGGTGGTTAACGCCAATTTACCTGAGCGGGGCCCGAGGTTGGGTTACCCGATTTACCGTAGGCAGCGTGGGCTGCTGTAGAGCGTGGCGGCAGTGAACTGGACTGGCGGCAGACCTCCGTGGCTGGCGGCAGCAGATTTGGGCCGAGGCAGCAGAGTACTTGGACGGCTGGAAGCTTCTGGCAGAACTCCCTGGACCACTGGTGGCACTCCTGGACCTCCGGCTACACTCCCTGGATCTCCCGCGACGGCGTACGACGGCGGCGAGACGGCGGCGGGCGGCGGCTGGCTCTGATACCACTGTAAGTTCTGAATCTTCCAGCTCAGGTCTCTAATTTCATCCACAAAGGATGAATAACACCACTATGATCACAAAGGGGGAGAAGGGCGTCAGCCAGCAGGCTATTTCCGGCCAAATATCTCCTGTGAACCCAAAAGAAAAGCTCGGACTGATTTTGGGGGATTAGGTTTCGGCGCTCTACCCAAAACGGAGAAAGGAGAATTATTTATAAGCCAAGGTCAAAAACTCAGGTAAGGTAACTTACCTTATCAAAGATATACAGCGGCTTCAACAAGGAAAGAAGAACAAGGGAGGATATGCGCAGGGAGAACAAGGAGAAAATAGAATCGGTAAGTCCAACCCTGGACCGGGTACAACCAAAGAATAAATGGGCTTACGGAAATAGTTGGGCCAATACCTAACACTCTAGTCCCGATCTGGTTTGTAAACTCCATAAATCCCTATATGGCTTAAAACAAGCTCCTCGGTGTTGGTTTGCCAAGCTTGTCACGGCTCTCAAAGCATATGGGTTTCTTCAGTCCTTCTCAGACTACTCTTTGTTCACCCGCACCCGGGGCGTCATCCAGCTGAATGTACTTGTTTATGTTGATGATCTTATTATTTCTAGGAATGATTCTGCCGCCATCCGTTCTTTTAAAGGTTATCTCAGTCAATGCTTTCGTACGAAAGATCTTGGCAAATTAAAATATTTTTTGGGCATTGAGGTAGCCCGAAGTCCATCAGGCATTTTTCTTACTCAGCGTAAATACGCCTTGGACATTATCACTGAGACATGCTTACTAGGGGCGAAACCAGTGTCCTTTCCTATTGAACAAAATCATACTCTCGCTCATGCATCAAGTCCCTTACTTGATGATTCTGAGAAGTATCGTCGCCTGGTGGGCCGTCTAATCTACTTAGCGGTTACTAGACCAGATCTTGCTTATTCCGTTCATATATTGTCTCAGTTCATGAAAAATCCGCGGGTTGAACATTGGAATGCTGCTCTTTGCGTAGTGCGTTACCTTAAAGGATCTCTGGGCCAAGGTATTCTACTATGGGCTGATAGTGATCTTACTCTTACTGGATGGTGTGATTCAGATTGGGCTGCATGTCCTCTTACTCGTAGATCCCTTTCTTGTTGGTTAGTCTTCCTTGGACACTCTCCGATTTCATGGAAGACCAAGAAGCAAACTACTGTTGCACGCTCGTCAGCTGAAACTGAATATCGATCTATGGCAGCCACTACATGTGAATTAAAATGGCTTAAAGCTCTTTTGATTAGTCTGGGAATTCATCATCCTCAGTCTATTCCACTTTACTGCGACACTCATTCTGCCCTTCATATTGCGGACTAAGCATATTGAGGTGGATTGCCACTTTGTTCGCAACGCTATTCAAGATCATCTTATTGCTCCCAGCTATGTTCCTACTACGATTCAACTGACAGATATTTTTACTAAAGCTTTGGGGAAGACTCAATTTCAATTTTTATTACGCAAGTTGGGCATTCTTGACCCCATGCTCCAATTAAGGGGGTATTACGGACGGATATATGCACATATATTAAGAATATTTCCTATTAATTAAAGATGATTGTTTTTTATTAGGAATATATTACTAGTTGGTAGTTTCCTTCTAGGAATGTATTTTCCTTTCTCTTTGCCGTGTACTGCTACTCGGTATCAGCTACTCCGTATATAATAGCGCCGAGTCCCTTAATACAAACACAAGAAAATCCTCTTAAATTACTCCTGATGGAGTATATGGGTCTGAGCCCCCGAACCCACATACTCAGAGGAACAGAAGACACAAGACACTGAGTGGCGCCC